CCCCCCCACTATCCGAATGGTTGCAACAATCTCCTAGACACATAATTGCGATAACGTACCATATTCAGCAACATCATGGTTTTGTTGCTAATCACGATCAAACAATAACAACTAATGAGAGCCGCTTGTTTCGCGGCGCATGCTTGTGCACGACGCCACGTGCGATAACGCGATTTCCTGTTTCATTTCGGAGGTCGCGTTGTTCGATCGAGATTAATTCAATTGTACCGTACCGCATCCGTTCCCACGACTTTACCCGTTCGTCGATGCGACCGCCGACGCGCGGGTGTGCACTCGGGCTCAATAGGAAGGCGAATGCCGTCGACAAAGAGTAAACATATAATTGAAATGCGCGGGTAGATCAAACGGTAAATGAATTGTCGAAATCCGTTTAACTGTGTGTCCACCGCACGGAATTGAAATAAATTCGTAAAACGCTGATAGCGAACCGCCGCGAAAGCATTAATGCGACACGATGACTTGCAAAAGATATATCTTTTTTTCTCCTTCCTTTTTTTTCAGGCTGAAAGAGTTTTTCCCACTCGAGTTATATATGTTTTTACTTATATATTCTCAGCTTACAATTTCAGATATATTACACATGATAAGAAGGTGAAACTAATTGCAGCAGGATGCTAACATGTATGATCTTCGCATTATATGATGACAACGGTATATGATAACTTTGTAAAGTGATATTTTTTTTGTTTCAATTCCCTCGTCGAAGAAACTACAGTTGCGTAAAATTATATAAAGTCTGTAAGAAGTTTCACTGTGACCGCAAATACATCGAGTGCAACTTCACTACGTATACATAAGATTCTGTTACGAAGTAATATAATTTTCGTAAAACTTCTGAATTATATGATTGAATGTTTTCTTAAAAAGAAAGATTTGTCACAGATTGTTGAGAAGTATAGAGTTTAATATTTTCTTAATCCTTTGATGCCATTCTATATAGATCGTTTTGTCACGCACTTGCTACACTGGATATTCTAAAAAATATTGCATAAAACTAATAAATATATGACAATTTTTTTTCAATCGAAACGCTGAATATAACAATAAAGCAAATATATGTGTACATCTGTTAATAAAAAAGTCATAACGTACCAAAGTAAAAAAAATCTCAAGTATATCATATTAGGACTAGTATCAAAAAGAAATTATAATTGGAATACAAATATATTAAATCTTAAATTTTTTAAGATGAGTAGTGTGAATATATCTTATAGATGAAAACTTTTTAACAATAAGTACGTTATTTATTAAAAATGCTTATATAAACTTCTGCAGTTGTTGGTACACAAATCATTTATTATAAGATATATGCTACTCAAACAGAATAACAAGTCACGATAACGTCAAAATGACATAAAATAAATAAAAAATGATTGAAAAATGACTTTTAATAATCATTTTAGAGTTGTTTTGACATCATTATGATACCATAATGATTTGTTATTCTACTTCGATATAATTTGTAAACAACTGGAAATGTACTTATCAACATTTAATTTACAAACGTTTCGACTCTGAATTTGAGAGGCTTCTTCTTAGAAAGTCCATAACCAAATGCTAACAAATAGTAGCCTGTACTTGACTTCCGCATTGAGAAGGACTCAAATTCAAAGTCGGAACGTTTGCAGTTAACTTCGTAACTACATTCTAGTTGTTTGCAAATTATATTTTATCACCTTATAAATATAATTTGCGCATCAACAACCGCGCACGCTCATATTTAAAGCTCATATGTAAAGCATTTTACATATATATTTGATTTATTCTTGGAGCTAAAACTATTTCCATTTTTATTTATCTATATAAGCTTATATCCTAAAAAAATATTATCTTCAAAATGTATTCTCGTATAATTTTATCTTATAACTGTAATTTTGTACTATATATTTATAAAATTTTAGAAAGACGGTTTATGTATACGCGAAGATGTAATCGTTAGTTAAATAGCTTGTTCTTACTTCGAATGCGATGAGATTTCCCACCGACGAGATTTCCCAGCGAAGGTATAAGGGGTATAGATACCGCCAACGTGATTAGTGAGAAATTGCAGCGGAAAGATTTATGCGAGTTTAAAAAATGATTTCGTGCATTTATGCGCTTAGTTCGAGCTTGCAGCTATCTTGTATATCTACCAGCGTGCAGCTCATTGCATTTCCATATTTTGCTGAGATTGAGATTCTAGAATCGACGTTTAATTAAACATTTCGCTGTGCAACACAACAACAAGAACATTCGCGATTAAGTCGATTCCCCGGAAGTAATTAATCATACTTATTGTTATCAATACAGATGTTCGTTCATTTGTATCAAGTTCTAGATACCAACAGTTTTTGATTTAAATAAAACTAAAATATCGGAGTAGAAAATAGACAAAATGATACAAAAATAAAATAATAGAAATCAATTTTTCAAAAGAGTTTTTAACTTTTTCTCATTCATCACTTTATCTTTATTTAACAGCTACATACATAAGAAATACTTCTTCATAGTTTTACAGCTGTGTACTTTTTATATAATTTTGAAAAGTTGGTGTAATTTTGTAATTTCAATCTAGCTTCGAGGCTTCGAATGTGATTTTTAAATGATATAATTGAACTAAATATGACAACAAAATATATGCGTATATTCTACATGTAAAGATACATTTACTAATAATTGGTAATAATTCATATTCTCTCTTCTATTCCTGCATTCTTTTTTCTATTTTCAGATTTTTGTAAATTATGTTCGTTCTGTATATTCGAAGAATTTCTACCTAGAGTATAATTGATATCACTCTATGACTAACAAACTAGTTATTTCCGGTATTATGCAAGACACTTTATTATCAGTACCTAGAAATAATCCAAGATACAAGTATTTTGGAAAAAATATCGAAATACAGGTATTATTAAAGTAAAATATCTAGATACAGGTACCTTTAATGTATTCTAAGACTTTTGAGTATTTGGTTACCACAGATACATTGAATCTTGTAAGAAATAGAAGTAATTTGTTATTTGTAACGAAGTTACAGTTACAAGTTACTTTTTTGACTTTACTGGTAACTGCGTTACTTTTTTTCTGGTAATTGTAACGGTAACGTAGTTATATTTTTTGGTAACGATAACGAATTTTACAGTTACTTTTATCATTACTTTGCACACGATTGGGCACAGTTCGATTGGACATAAGTCACTTATAGCGTTTGGGATTAGAAAACTCCTAGGTACCCATCCGCTGTGATTAGTGATCATTAATTTTAAAAAAGTAACGGTAAAGTAACGAAAAATTATTTTCTCAAGTAACGGTAACTGTAACGAGTTACTAGGAAGTTTTTGCAATAGCGTTTATTCAAATGGTGAACGCTAAGGTCAGATTATCTTCTTCTTAACAATTACTTAAGAAAAGGATAACGTAACTTTAGCATTCACCGTATCTGAATTTATGTTATTGCAAAAACTCCCTACTTTAAAAATTAGTAACGGTAACTTATTATTCTTTTTTATTCGATAACGAGTAACTGTAAAAGTACTTAAAAAGTAAGTAACTTTCCTTACCCGTGTCAATAGCAAGAAATGACACGTTAATTTTTATTACATGTCATTTGTAAATAAAAATAATTTGGAAAACGAAATGATGAGATTGCTTTAAACAATATAATATATTATAGTTTCGAAGATGCGAAAAAGTATCAAAAAATTGTTAAAATTGCTAGTCAATTTTAACTTGTGATATTACTGCGGTAGTTCAGAATTAATTTCAACACTTAGTCAGAATTAGTTAGAATTAGTTTCAAGACCGAAAAATCATTTCGGCGCACGTTTCAAAAAGGACTACACGTAGTATATAAATTCACACAGAATCATAGAAGCATTTAAGATCTAGTTAGACCGTTTAAGGCTTTGATTCCTATAGTTTGTGTTGTAAAAATGAACGAAAGTTATCCTTATCTCCTTCAGTAATCAGTAAATAATTAAAAGTGATAAAATACACGGAATAAGCTACACAGATACACCGAGTAAAAATCAAATTTTATCATTTTTTACGATTATTTACTGACTGTCAGGGCAATAAGAATATCTTTAGCTTATCTTTATAGCTATCATATAATTTTCGTTTTATCTGGATTGTTCTTATTACAAATGCATGTGCAACAAAAATTAACGTGTCATTTTTTTCTTTTGATGTCACGATAATAATAAATTTAATATGGCTGTGGTGATCACTCAGGAGCCTTAAATGTATCTAGCCTAGGTACAGATACTTTTATTTATTTATTAACATAAAATTTTAGAATAAACAGGATTTATGATGTCATGTATCCGTACGTAATATTTATGTATTATACGTATTTTATATGTACATTTATAAATATTCTATGCCAATTTAACATGTTATACAATAAAACAAAATAATACTTATAAAGCTATTATATATTAGTTTAATTCAAATAATTTATTTAACATTTATGCATTATGTTTTAAAAACATCAATCATTCAAAATTTTTATTGGACAAATTATTTTGTCACGGCGTTAAAATTTGGTACCCTGTGTTAAATGCACATTCAACAGGAGCTTAGTAAGAGTGTATTATATTTCATATAAATTTTGTTTATACAATTGAATAATCTATTTAATGTAGAAAAATATCATTCAAAAAGTAACTAAAATGTACCTAAATATAAGTACATAAATATCGGTACATAAGTATCGTAATATTTTTATGCGTATCGTTATATTTTATAGAGTCATATTTTTATCGGTCTGATTATATTCGAAGACACTATGTGTCTGAATAAACACTGACGTATGTAGCTTATGTGTCAATATAAGGTTTATATCTTGTCGGAATGTCACAATGCGATATCTTATGAACACAAATGATTTTCTCATTACCCAATTTGAATTGATTCTCTTTATCAGAGTATATAAACGATACATCCTCTTGTATTTACATTTTGATTTA